AATGGCCTAGGAACAAACTAGAATGGACTGGAATAGACTGGGACGGACTAAGATGAGAATGGGAATGGACACCGTCCCTGTTCCTGCCTCTACCCCATCTGGCCGGGCCCACCTTTGCCTAGGACCTTGCGGGGTCCCAGGCAGGGCCACTCTGACCTATTCCTATATAGTAATATATAATATAATATCCAGTTTGGGGAAGCATTACTACGTCATGGATAAGGCATCCCCCACACCAAGAGACCAAGGTAGGGCGTCCACCACACTAGGCCTATGAATAATAGGGGGACTCAGGGCCTATGTGCGACTGGTGTGAGATAATTGGCCTGTGTATTTTTGGCCGTTTCATTACTCGGAATTGCCCCCATTCGACTAAATTCAAGTGATTTCACTGCTGCCCTCCAGAGAGGTCTGGCCATGGCGAGGCAACAATCTTTGAATTATCTAAAACCTTCTAGACTCACATTATGCTATGAGCATGTGTCGGCGCGGTCCCCCCTTGGCCGCATCCAGGTACCCTGGCCCGCACTCTAGGGCCTCTCCGGTGGAAGCGTGGTCGTCCTCGGCCGGACGGCATATCCCGGGCTCTCTCAGGCCCGTGGGTGACGGCCGCTCTGTGCAGTCCCATCCAAGGCATGCGGCGGCTGCGCTCGAGGAGGCAGGGAGGCTCCAGAACAATCGATCAAACTACAATCGGCGCCGCTGCTAGGCACTCTTACATGTGGCGGCCAAAATCATCAAACCCATCATTTTCATTAAGCATCTCCATTTCGGCCAAACCCGTTTTCTAGCTAAAGGCCTCGCTATGCTCGGCCCTTATGCCTAAGTCGTTCCTCCGGCCTACTCCGCTTTGCTCTATATATGGCCTCCACAACTTTAGCGACAGGCCGAGCTCCGCTCGGCAAAACAAGAAACCAACGGGTCATTACCATAGCATGATTTCCCTGTGGCTTCCATGATCACATTAACGCCCTTCTAATTCAACTCCATGGCTTCATATCCAATCACGTGCACCATGCGCCCTGCTGCCTGCCATTCACTTGAGCCTACTCTCGCTTGCTCCCCCATGCCTCTGCCGTAGGTGCAAGTGCCTCAATCGTGACCCCCCCATTGTTGTGCATGCCTTCACATCCGGCCCTATGCCTAGCCACTCATCACATTATTCCAACAACCCTCGAGCTCATTGAAGCCACTAGTGGGCATGCAAATTCTATGCATAGGCAAGGTAGGCCACTACCATGTAAGCAGCACAACACGGTCTATGCGATTCTGCCATCGTCATTATCATCACCAGGCCTTGGCAGCCATGCTCTTGCACCCATGCTTGAGCACACTGCTGCATGCTACCACTACCGTATGGATAGCTCTAAGGCGCTCCACAACTCAGCACCCAGTGTTGGCGTACAACATTCAAGTTTGCCATGACACACGATGGTGCACGGCAACCTTGAATGTGCACCCCAAGTTATTATTGGTGCTTTATAGCTATGCATTCTCGCTGGCCGATCGGCTCTACGGTTATCTCCATTACTATTTTGTATCTTCCATCTAGATACTGATATTATAATATGTCTTTTCTAGGACAAGACATGCCTTCCACGTCTTCATAATATTAAAGGACCTCCAAGAATGGTAATTCCTGCAAATAGGGACAAGTTGATCAAACAAGGTAATTGAAGTTTATTGAAGTCGATAGACCAGGACGCGCCCAATGGAGAGGGGCGTCGTTGGTGCATTTCCTCTGCTACTCTGGACAGCCTCTCATTATGTATCGCTTCTATTTTGATTATTATGGAAAACAAGAATGCAATCGCCCAGTTTTGGTCAATTTGACTACTCTCGAGGCCACCTCGTAGTCTGTTTGCAACCGCCAACCCTTGCCATCTCTTTCCTAAAAATAGAAGCACGACTTGCCATATACTTCAGGTCATTTCCCATCTTCACCTGACTATTGCTCTATAACGATTTCCAGTATCAACATCAATCATAACTTATGCTGATTTTAATAGCTTAAAAATATCCTATCAACAAATTCTATTTTCTTGAGCAGTGTTATGATTCACAACTTGCACACATCCCAACTATCCCTTGTTGTTGGACCAACCCATGAATTGATCGTGTCAGCAAAACTACTAACTAAAGCTTCATATGTGAAGTCTTTATCTCACAATTATGATATCGCATCTGACGTTTGGACTATGGATCTGAGTAGACTCCTTTTGGAGGGCAGGCATTTGTTCCAAATCTCCCATATGGACTCTAGATACTTATTCTATCACTGAGCGAGAATCTTAACCATTTAGTGTTCTAGCCATTTCCATACCGATTTCCCATTCATGGCAGCAATTGTCCGGACGATCGTTCCGTGTTCCTGTGTTTGACAGGTCACCCTTCAGATTTGATAGCCTGTCATGTTGAACGCTTAAGGATGCTGGAAGGTGGATCGCTTTCAACTCTTATGAATCTCGTATGGTCACAGTGCTTCCTTGTCATAGGCCATGCGTATTCCTAAGTCCATTCTGTTTGGTCGCCAGGACAAGTGTACCCGCAACTTTATACAGGTGTAGTATGCAAAACACCCCTGAGTTCGTTGCCGTTCTCATTATCAGCACCGTATGCTCTGACATCCTCTCCCATAGGTGTCAACCGCCTTTCCAGACCAACACCATTTCATGGGAATCCTTTGGAGCGCATCAGCAAATACATAGCTATGTTGAACATACAGAAAACCAAGCAAGACTCTCAACATTTCTCTCGACCATCAGTCACGAGTCTTTACGTTATCTTCCCATGGAGGCTTCACATTTTCCTCCCTCTCAGCTGTATGTACGCGTAATGTGAATGGACCAGGCTCCTGCTAATTATCTAATGGCACAATTTAGCAGGGCAATAAGCACAGTTCGGTCAGTATGACACACTACTTTTATATTCTTGGGTTAGTCACAAGTCTGTCCTAACGTACCAGGACTAAGTGACTAATGCTGTCGGCGCGGTCCCCCCTTGGCCGCGTCCAGGTACCCTGGCCCGCGCTCTAGGGCCTCTCCAGTGGAAGCGTGGTTGTCCTCGGCCGGACGGCGTGTCCCGGGCTCTCTCTGGCCCGTGGGTGACGGCCGCTCTGTGCGGTCCCGTCCGAGGCGCGCGGCGGCTGCGCTCGAGGAGGCAGGGAGGCAACGTGTTCCAGAACGATCGAACTACAATCGGCGCCGCCGCCTGGCGCTCTTACATGTGGCGGCCAAAATAATGAAAGTCATCATATTCATTAAGCATGTCCATTTTGGCCGAACCCGTTTTCCGGCTAAAGGCCTCGCTACGCTCGGCCCTTATGCCCAAGTCGTTCCGGCCTGCTCCGCTTCGCTCCGCATACGGCCTCCACGACTTTGGCAATGGGCCGAGCTCCGCTCGGCAGAACAAGAAACCAACGGGTTGCTACCACATTACCACAAATGCTATGTTTAACTGTTTCGAATTAAGTTTCTACTATTGATTACGTGGATCTTTTGCCCCATTTACAGGGAGCTGACCGCGTTGTCAACCCTACGACCATTGAATTCCAATCTCAAAAGGAGGTAGGGTAGAGAAATAGAAAATGCAACTCAAGTTTCTCAATTATATCGTTGAGAAAAATGAACTTTTGAAAACTATATTTTTGAAAGTACATTTGTTGAAAATATATTTTCTGAAACTTCTTGTTGTGCAGTGTAGTTCTGAAAGTTGCACCCCCAAAACCCTTTTGAATCAAGGCAAAGAGCCTTCCCGCCGGCCGTTGGTCCACATCATTTGCCACCCGAAAAAGTGTTTTGGGGTGATGTTGAGGGTATTCTGGTTACACTTGATTTGATATAAGATGCGCTGCCATTCCAGAAGGCGAAAGTACAACTAAAATTCATGCATCAATTTGAATTGATGGGCTGCAAAGCGTCTGCAACACATAATAAGGGTGGCTAGACCTTACTGCAACTTACATCCGGAATCGGGGATGGAATTACAGCAACGTTGACGGGCCTTGCTACAACGAGTTTGTTGGCGTACTTCCTGTCAATGTTGATCGAGTCGTTGCGCATCAACACTCCACCAGCATCTTTTCCCCTGCTGTCCTTGATGTTAGCTGGGCACGAACTCTAACATTCCGTCAACCACCATGTTCATTAAAATTACAACCATTGTTGCTCATAAGACGTTAGTGCATGGGCATTACAGAAACATTGATAGGTAGTGCAGAAACATTGATAGGCGGTGTGTCAACCAGCTGCAACTCCATCCCGATTTCTGGATGTAAGGTTTTGGCTTGGATTCCGTAATTTTTGCACAAATCAGGGAACAACAGTGGCCGCCAGATGAGGTGTAACGGACTGGTTAGCAACAAACGGCGGCTGATGTGTAACGCACAAGAGCGGGCCGCTGCGATTGGCAATAGACAAAAAATGTTGTGGGTGGGAACCAAGGCCATAGCATGGACCACAACGGAGAGCTCTCAGAGACTTATCACAATGTGCACGGGCCCAAATGGTGGATGCGCAATATGATGTGCCGTGGGCACTTGGCAAAAGTCCCACATTTGCACAGCAGAATTGCACAGTGCACACCACAGAAAGTGTGCAAAGGCAAAAATGGCTCTGCTGAGATTCATTCATGATAAGAGGGCGTTGTTCACTTGCCCCCCCACATTCGCGCTTTTTTGTTTGAATTCCAACGTACTACACAATCAGGTTATCAAAGGAGCTCCCCCGCAAAATATAATAGCAAGGGCCCTTTCCAGCAAGAACCGATGCGGGGTTCCCAAACGCACATTCACGCTTTGCATTGTGTAACGAGGGCTGCTACGAGCCGACCTTGTGCACGGCTCCCCACAACGTCCCACCAACTTCGTACCCGACTACCACCCACCGTCACCACCTACCATCCCGACCGCATGTAGCCCCCCATCGGCCTCGGCCCGCCGCCCGGACCTCGGCTCACCTGCGGACAGGGCGCGCCCAGAGGCGCCCAGAGGGCCCCCAGCGATGGCGGCCCAAGACCTGGAACTGTCGCAGAGGAGACTCCCCCAATCAGGTGGCCGGCCATCCCACTTCCAAGCCGCAATACCCACGATCCCCTTTGGCCCCTCCCCCGATCATGCCGTCTGCTGGACGCGATGCTCGGGCCTTGCGAACGCCTCCTAAAAATGTCCCGCCTTGGTCCGTGCCGCTGTGGCTGAAGATCGCGGAAGGTCCTTCGTCGGTGACGACGTCTGTGCTGGACGGGCAACGCAGATCAGATGTTCCGCGACGACTCGGACAACCTGGGTTTCCTCGATGCCGCCACGGACCGGCGGGTGCAGGTGCTCCGACGGCGGGTGCTGGCGCTCTCGGCCCTCACGTGCGTCTCGCTGGTGCTGTCCATCGCCGGCCTGTCCTACACCGGGTCCATCGACAGGCGTGGGGCCTCGACGGGTGGGGCGGAGGCGGGGATGAGCAGGGTGGAGGCGAGTGCACCGCTTGGATACACGCCCCTCGTGAAGGACAAGACGGTGAAAAGGATCGCGTTCGGATCCTGCACGTCGCACCTTCTGGACGAGCAGCCGATTTGGACCGAGGTGTGCCAGTGGTTCTCGCCGAGTACGATTGCCATTGAATTGATTTGTTCGTTCTCATCGGAATGTTGTGCCGTTGGTTGTTTTCCTGTTGATTTTTGGTGACAAGGGCGTCCTCTCGTCGGCGACTCGATTAGCCCGCGTGTGGAACGTTTCTGCGGGGGGGTGTGAAGCAGACTTGTCAATTTGTTGCTGTCGGAGGTCCAGGAGTGTTTCCATGGATCATGTGCGTCAGAAAGTCCATGATGGACATAATTCCATGCACGAATTGATCCAACTCCTATCTTCTTAACATCCATCTCTAAACCCAAAACCAGAAGGCCCAATCCCAAACTGTTCCCACCCAGCATCATCCCACCCATCTGTGCACGTCTGGCGATCATGCAGCGAACGTCTGAGTACAGAAAGCTCACATTAAGATTGTGGTAAGGAAGGCTACTGCCTCATCAAGGAAAAGGGAAGAGCAAACGGCTGGAATGTGGCATACCTGTTCTCAATTTGTCCATTATCACTTACATAATGCAATGGCCTGTGCTGTGCTAGCAAAGCTGGGAAAAGGAGTTCAGGAAGGGAAAGACATGGCAGTGGGTATCAGCGACCGCCAGTGCCACATTTGCTCAAAGGCAAAGCGTTTTCAGGCTGTCCTAAGCGCTTTATCAGTGGAACAGTGGTAGAACATTGATAATGTTGCATCCGTCACTACTTGCCAAGAATGTATTCCACAGGGGTGCAACAGCTGTATCCCTATTGAATCAGAAGATCATGACTGGGCCAGTTCCTCAGACAGCTGTGCAACGAATCTATTTGATCTTGTATGTCCCTGCACCCTTCATAACTACTCTCATCTTCCACACATGCTATTGCTGAGAATCCCTCTTGACCACCAAGGACATGGGATGCCAGTCCTGAACTAAGGCATAGAAAAATGGGTAACCAGAAGGTGACTGTTCCCAGATAGACAAAAAATGAACTGAAAAAGTGGGCTTGGTGACTGGATCGCAAGCACGTCAAATGGTCTACAAGGTCATTGAAAAGTTGATGTACAAGGGATGGGGATATAACCTTCAGTAGTTGACACTCACTCCCCATTCATATGCATATACATACCCATATCTGGCCATTCCTTCCCTCCCTTCCCCCCTTGCTTTTCTGGCCCCTTTTGGTGTCTTGGCACACCACCCGTACTCGGCACGATTGGCCAGAGAGTAAGGTGCTTGTGGTGATGCGCAAATCAGGTGATTCAGGTGAACTCAAGTGGTATTCCTTATGTTCTGCATAGAGCAACAAGCACCAAGTGACGTATCACACCACTGATACATCAACTTTTGCAACAGACTTGATTGCATATAGAATTGCATTCGTTTCATCAGCTATTCTCCATCCAGAACCCCAGCACTACAAGTGTGAATCAAATGGGGTGTACACCAGTGGAACGGCTGTTTTTGGCCTTGCAGAGTCTCAGTTTAGTGTCGCGGACATTCAAAGGACATTGTCTGTGACACTTTAGCTGCTATGACACTAATGTGGCAGCGGTTGTTGTGCCATGGATAGTGATTAGGATAGTGCACCCAGTGATGCAGGCAGCATCTTTCTGTGAGAGAGTCGTTGGCAGTGATGTGTCACTGTCTGCAACGCCACAAACACTGTCCATGTCAGGGCCGCAGATGGCTTAAAAAGTGTTGAGGACAGCGTTCCCTTGGGACTCCGATTTGAGTGTCTGCGACACTAATCTGAGGGTCTGCAATGCGTCCAACAGACACCCTCTTCCACCGTTGTGAGTAGAGAAGACCAATGAACGAATGGCGATGTCATGTGCACGTGCAAGTTCATGTTGATCTCACCAATGAGCAATTAACATGGAAACCATGCATCAATTCCCACAATACATTTTGTGGACCTTGCTCCCACATCCAAATGGTCACAGTGCTGTTTGTTGATTGCAACCATGACCAAGTCATTCGATCTTGCCCATGGCCATATATGCCATGTACAGCTATGTATGTCGTGTCAGTGAGCTTCCCAAGTGTGAACAGAAGTTATGCACCGTGGAGAGTCTGGACTGATGAAGTGATGACAGTATGGATGTCATTATTCTGTTGTGGTGTTTTTTGTGACTGTCATGCTTTTCTAATGGCTGATGTGCCAGTGGAGAAAGATGAGCGCAGGTCAAAGATCCACTGACCCACATGACCATGGTGTGTACTGCTTTATGCTGGCTGGTTGTGAAGAAAACAAGATCTAGCAAGGAACAAACAGTAAGACTAATGCAGCACCTGTTATTGTTTTGATGTCACAAGATTTTAATGTAGCAAATTCTGTGTGCTTTTTTAGGGTGTCATTGCCAGTGGCCCTGATGCATGGATATGGCTGGGGGACATGGCATATCTTGATTCGCCATTTGCTGATTGTGGAAAAGGCGAAAACCGTGTGAACAACACTCAATGCAACTGTGAAGCAGACTGGCTGCGAACGCCAGGCAACTGCATGGCTGGTGACCTGGACCATGCGAGAGAAAAGATGAGGAGGCAGGTACCTCCCCATTGGGTAACATAAGTCTGTCCTAAAGGTCCTGCTACCGCCTTTCCAGCGCAGTCACAGAATTAGCAATTTTGTCACATCTTGAGACAGTGCCTTTAATAGGCATCTGTGGTGGCCTGCCTGCAGGTTTGGTTGTTGCATCGCTGAATAGTGCCTGAACACAACTGTTGTGTCGATGATCAGCATTTCATTTCAGTTTGTTCTTACATTGTGTGGTTCACTTGGAACACAAATTCTTACAAGTTTGATGCAATGAAGTAGGGACACAGATAGTACAATAGTACTTTCATAATACCTTGCATACTTTCACAATGGGCTTGAGTATTTGGCTGTATCTATCAGTTGTGTTGTTCAGCATGGTTTGCTCTAACATCTGTGGATGTTTGCCTTGTAGCTGCTATCGAGGGGCTACCATAGCTTCCTGCACTACATGTGCCCCAGCTTCCTGCAGGCTGGTGTGTTTCCACCCACGGGTACTGACCCACAGGTCTGTCCAAAACCGATAATCGGCACATACGACGATCATGACTACGGCTGGAACAATGGCAACAGGAGGTACTTATCTGGTCACAAGGGTGGTCGGCACCCATCGCAGGCCGCTCGCATGCACTTGACCATATCAACTTCATGACTGTTACCAGATTCACCAAGGTTCTTGCTGTGACACTGAAGGGTACTTTGCTGTCATTCGTCTGCATCCATGTGACAGCAGCACTATAAAATGGTTTGACTGTGTCCTGTCTATCACTTGCGAGGATGTGCACAGTCTTGAAAATCATATCCTGAACGGGGCCATTGCTGTTTACCTGAACAAGCTGGATGGCCTCATGTGGCTCTTCGCAGATTGTTGCGTTCTATATGCAGAATTGTCAGCATGGTATGCAGGAGTTTCTAGGGGATTGTCAACTGCATGCAGCATCCATGCCTTTGTTGTCGTCATGCGTTGCTCTACACCCCCAAATGAGAAAACGAGGGAATCTCTGATTCAGTCACTTGACAAATACGAACAGATTGAATCTTTCTAACAGTGGCACTTCTCGCTTGCAAGTACCAATGTTATAGGACATGCGAACAGTGCAAATCCCAGCTGCCCACTCCACCCTTGTGCCCCATGTGCTCCAAGTGTAAAGCCTGGGATAGCATTCATGCTTTGTTTGAATTGGTGTGTGAATTGGTCACCCTTGCAGTGCAGATTATCACAAATTGACATAAAGGATGACCACTGGATGTGACAGCATGGATAGGCATATTTCTTTCAAACTTCGGCTTTCACAGCACAGTTTTCATTTTGGTGCTGAGCCCCATTCTAGCAGAGAATTGTGGATCTTTTGTAACCTTGTAGACAGTGCATGGTGATTTTCCATAGACGTGATCGAATGATGTCAATTGCAAATGTTCTAAAAGTGCGAAGACTCAGTTTATGTGTGCACAATGCACCTGCTTGCTTTCATTGGCTGTGCATGGCTTCTGTGGGCACAGACTGTCCAGTGACAGGAGCCGTTGGCTCAACAGCATGGAATGCACTTAAATGCTTTGTTTTTGACAACTCTGACAGGCTTCCCAATAAGTTTGACATGAAGCAGATCTTCCTGGATGCGGTTGGCGAGGTACCCGACAGCCCGCGCCGTAGCACATCACAGGGAATTCAGTGGAAGTACACATTCAACGAAGGGAAGCCTGACCAACTGATCGACGTGTACCTGTTGGATGAACGATATGAGCGTGATACACTGCCATGCCATTTAAGGCAGGAATGGTGAGATGGGTAAAGAACAAGGGAGGATTTGGGTGGTAAAATGCTCTTCGTGCAAAGGATAACCCCTCAACAATGAACGCTTCTGCTGCCACATGCTGCTGACAACCATACTGTTCATAAATGACATCACATGACAATGCAGTGGCCTTGCACCCATAAGGCATGTGTCCAAAATTCCCTTTTTCCACCACGCACCCCACAAGGGCTGACCCTGTGTTGCACTTTGAGACTGTGTTGAATTCCTGACTGTATTGAACATGCAACAGTGAAAAGGCCAAGAGGGCCCTGTGTAATGGATGGGCTCCTACTGAGCTCATTGGTGTGGACTGCTGATGGAAATGAGTGTAGGGAGTTTCTGTTTGTCAATTCAATCTTGTCACCTGCAAGGTGAGGGCTGTCTCACTTTTAGGAACAACAGTGGCAGGCACTACCTTTGATTTTGGCCAGGCACAAACCATCCGCATATCCCAAAATCCCAGCTGGAAGTCTGACCACTTAATTTTGCATGGCTCAAGATGTCCTCAATGTTTACCCGTTCTCAACCTCCTACCCATTTGGAATCACTGGGATTTGCAGAAATTTCTGCCAAACCAGGGTATCGTCTGAACATTGATGGTTTGCTGCTCGCCATGCGACTTACACCCTATAATACTGGCCTCTGCCACGCTGTGTCTGTGGACAAGTACACAGTTTGGCAATAAGCTTCTTCTCTTGTCCTACAAATGTGCTGTAGTTGATTTTGTATCATATGAACCTCTAATAGGGGGAGAGGCTCTTTGCAGGGTTTGTTGGATGCAGAAGTGGCTTAAGCATCCTTTGCAGCTGTTCCAGATAAAGTTGCACCCACTGTGAACAATAACATACTCCTTTCTGCTGTATTGCTATCAGAAATCGTCATTCTTCCTTCTCCACTCGTGCTGTTGCCCTTCAGTGCTTTGGCTAATAATGAGCACTTCCCCCACTGAAAGAGGTCGTTGGAAAGTAGAAAATGGGGTGCTTGACCTGGTAAAAGGCAGATGACAGTGTACCAGAATTTGTCGTTGCTTGGTCCCGTTCTGCAGGTGTAACAACACAGTGCTTAAGGACCAAAAGAGCGGTTACTATGCATGGTGCAAGGACTTTGTTGTGGACGGTGGGGTGAAGGCGAACGGCTCGTGTTGCCCCTCAGATGACCGCTTCTTCCGGGGTTGGTGCCAGCAGGTAAGTGCAGATGGGCACGAGAAGGGTTGGATCTGAACGGCGCTGCAGTACCTTTGGGGGTTTTGGTGAATTACAAGACAGTCGTTTTGGAAGCACACACCTCTTGTGCACAATGGTTGGAAACCTTGCAACCCGTACAGTTGCACCCATTGTGGACATCAGAGAAGCAGCAACAGCTCATTGCATTGCTGTGCTTGCAGTCCGATGCCAAAACCGACCCCATCTGGCCATACCTGTGCGATCCCACCTCTGATGTCTATGCGGCTTCCTCAGCAGCAGAGCCTTCAAACTTGACATTTCAGGATGGCAAACCTCTGGCATTTGAGGTCCCTGATTGGGACACGGCGAGTGAGGTGCGCATGCCAACAATGCTCCACATCTTTCGTGCGTCGTGTCAGACGTGAAGTCGACCCTGATCATTGGAAGGCAGTTTTTCAAGATGAGTGAAAGGCAGATACAGTCCAAAGACAGCCTGGGTTGTAATCCAGCACCAGAAAGGATGCACAACAGTCTTTTGGATAGGCTGTTCTCAAGTCCATGTGTTTTCCTGTCCTGATGCACTGGTATTTGTATGGAGAAGGGCACCTGTACAGAAATGGCTTCACTGGCCCGTGTGAGTGGTAACTCACTTCGAACATGGCAAAAGACCATTCAATTGCCATCCTTGACATACAGCATTGCTGTTGATGCTGACATCTGAGTGCTGAATATGTATGATACTCCGAACTGGTAGTTTCAGAAGCCAGAATGGTGATAATGCTTTTCACAGTCATTGAAAGATGCCTTCAGTCTTTTCCTATTATCTGGAACGGTGTAGCAGAGCAACCATGTAGTGCTGCCAAAACAGAAAGATCTTCGTTTTGCATGTGTCACACTTTTGCAGCCTTCATGTTTATGGTTATGTTGGGCCCCCAGTGCAAACTCTTCACATGTTGCCTCAAGTGGTCGGATTCAGTGCTGAGCATGTGCGCATTCCTTTTAGTTACGGCAATACTAAAACACCTGCCTGTTATTCTATCCGGAGAAGTTGGAAGAGATGTAATAGCCTTTTGATTACTTTTCGCAGTGTTTGACAAAGCGTTGCCCTTCACTACCAAGGCAATCATGAGCATTATTCCATCCACAATACTTGTTCGGCATTATGTGCTCCTCATCTCAAGCGAGGGTGGAGAGGATGGCAGGCGTGATTTGTTTGTGGCATGTGTACGCATGAGACCGCCTGCCTGCAAAAGGCGCGCATCAGAGTTGTTGTCAGCTAAATAGAATAGCGGCAGAACAGCTGGATGTGAAACTCTTCGGTTAACTCGTTGCACTAGGAAAAAAGGGTCAACTAACACTTTTGCGAACACACATAAAACACATTTCAGCAAAGTTCTGCACGCTGAGAACACAAAAATAACACAAACCCGTAAACTTTGTACACGTTTGAACACGTGTTATTTGGCCCTTTTTTCCCTAGTGTTTCTGTTCCAGCATCGTTCAAGAATGTGAAGCCACCGCTGACAGTTCAAGGACTTTCCTCCAGGTTTCCCCACTGTGCGAAGTTCTGGGACCAAGGCAGCGGCAATGGCTCTCGGATTCACTGGCCAAGTCGAAAGCGAAACTGACGATCATCGGATCTGGGTCAGTAGTGTTTGGCAACTTTTTGCATCAGCGCAAGGACAACATGGGGATCTGCAGTGATGACGACTGGGATGTGAGTTGTCGATTAGTGTTTTTGTTGCTGAAACATGTTTGTTTTTCGGTCAGCCAAGGAAAGAGTAACGCTGTTCTATCGGCTTGTCACATCAGCATCAGATTTTTGTCTCATTGCATGTTGGATCAATACGGATCCGTGTAATGGCACTGTCGGCTGCGTTTTTGACCGTTGCGGCCAAACCATGCCTGCTTAGAAATGGATACGAGGGGCCCATGTTTTTGCATGTATGCCTGCATTGTATGTTCTGCGCAATATCTGTGGAGTGGATGGGCCGGTTCAAAAACCATGCTGTTGCCATATGCGGTGGGTACTTCCCCTTCCAAAAGACTGTGCATATGTTCCCATTCAAAGAAAGACACTGCCAGGTCATACTGATTGGCCTGAGCTTTGAGCATTGTTGACTTAACTGATACTGTGGCACTTGGGTATCTGCTGTTGTTTTCTCCTTTGTACTGAAAAATTGTGATATGTGTGGCGATGGTGGGCCCTTTTATCGCCACGACTGTTGCTTCCACAGGTTTCAGGACTCCCTGCCACTACCAAACAGCTCAAAAGACTGTCTTGTGGATTGCTGTGCTTCCCCCCACTGGAACTGTTAATGTCCACCAAAATAGTGTTGAATGCAGTGTGGGTGTGCTTGCCAGTATCGCCTGACTCCATGCACCTCGCATGGTTGTGATACTGACTGAAAACAGCCCAGCGGTGGCTTGCTCGGTCAGAAACCTCAGTTCGATTTTTTTCTATGCACACTGCACTATGGAACAGCAGTATGATGGCCAGGCGCCAATGCAGGCTCGCTGATGGAAATGTGATAAAGTAGATGTACTTCATGCAAACAGATCTTTACTACTGCTTTCACGCTGAGTAGTCACCGGCATCGCCAGTGCAGTTGACGAATTGTCTCTGAAGTTACGTCGAGATTTATGAGGCCCTCAGCGCCTACGTACCATGGCGAAATGTTACGCCTAATTCGCAGTTGTACGATTTTCATGCTCATGTACTGCTATGTAGTATTACGGGCGCACGATTTGCCCCACTCAGGGCATGGCACACTGCTGTGCACGATCTTCAGTTGCAAAGTGAGACGGCTCTAACGCAGACAGGACCATGACATGGGCTACCTTCCACCTTCACAATAACACGTTGAAGCTGTCATTCATATACCTGGATCAGTCTTTCAAAGGGACAGAAGATCTGACACATATCTGCTGTTGGGGCAGTGCTATCATCCAGCTCAGCTTCAGCTGGTGCACACCCTCAGTAATGCCAGTGGCTGTGTGGTGATTGTGACCGGGGATTACCACATATCGGACATCAAAATGTTGGACACGGAGCCGGGGAAAAAATACGCTGAGCGATACATGACCGACAAGCTGGATTCACCCATCTACCAGGTGGGTACAGACGATGACCCTAATATGGGCCAAGTTGCCCCTCAAGTCGCACTCCTTCCTGGACCAAGTCCCATCGAAGAATCGTGCACGTGACGCTCGTTCTGCTCTGCGAATGACGGGAACAGTATAGCACTTCACTGACGGGTTTGGCCATCATTTCAGCACCATATGCTGACGGCTGCAAATTCGGTGGTCGCCTCCGCTTGACGAAATATAGAACGTTGAAATACAGGTTATGGTGCATGTGTGCGGCGGCTCAAAGGCGTCGTCACCAGTGGCTGGGCATGGTCTATTGCGCACTGCCCTTTCGATATGTGGGCGTTGAACCGTGGCAAAGGGCATAGTGCGTTTGTTTCTGATCTGCTACGAATGGCGAGAAACACAACGAACCTGGAAATGAGTATGAGGCTCAGGGTTGCGAAAACGGCTGTCGTGAAGAGGCAGGCAAATGTATGTACAGAATGCATCTTGAAGGCACGGGGCTCCCTCACCACAGCATGTCTTAAATTGTGCAGTCTTTGTCCCAGCCAGTGATGCTGCCATCCTCGCTGTCAAGACGCAGTCGGAATATGGAGAGCTGTTGGGGCCCCGTGGATCTATGAGCTGGGGAAAAAAGCTGCACTATCCATGGTCAACCTCGCGCTGTGGTCTCCAGTGAAACCAGCGGGGCGTTCCAGGGGGCCCTCCATTGGTCCTTTGCCCTATTTCGTTCGTTTGCGACACCCGAGTACACGAATGGCTGTCAGGGCCTGTACAATGCGTTGTCCCACGCAGCCAACACAATGAAACGTCCAGAATGGCCCGAAGTGGAATGCTCACAGCGCTCTGGTGTTCAGGTGATGGCCAGCGGAATGACCAACGAAACCGCCCGGGCTCAATTCTTTGACAATCCATGTCAAGACTGGGTAACGGACACGCCGGGGTTCAGGCCCCTGGGCGAGTGCAGCTTCGTGCCCACTCCCGCCTTCGGCATGATCGACATTGACTGGGACGCCAGGATTGTGCACTTGCAGATAATGGACGGCAGGGACGGGAGGAACGTGGCTTCGGGGTTCGACGAGACGCTCCAAAAGATCTCCTTCCACCTGGATTCGTGCAAACGAGTGTGACGTTGTTTGCAAAGGGAGGTTGGCGTTGCCGCGCCCTGAGGGGCGCCAGAAGGCTGGGAAACCTGGACACAGCGGGGCCCGGTATGGCTTGGGATTCAGCAGGGTGGCCGAGGGGCAGTGGGGCGCGAATTTGTGGTCTTGGGGATGTCGCACAGGCGCTGCAATCCCCCTGTGGATGCGCGAGGCTGCATGGTAGCGATGTGAGCTCCTTGCTGAATTGCGGGCTCTTCAATGTTTTGCTGTTGTGCTCGGGGCACGGGAGTACTACAATTGCAGTCAGAAAGGCGGCATACACAGGGAACTGCCGCAGCGCGTTGGTAAAAGGTCCCATCCTGGATATCAAATAGGATGTGGCGGCCGTGTCTCATGTATGGGTGTATCTTGGATACGTATATACAGCAAGGGTACAGCAAGGGATAGCAAGGGAAGACACGATTTTGATTTTTGTACGCCTAAAGTCAATTGACGGGGTGTGTGTGTGTGTGTGGGTGGATGGGTGGGGGGCCAGCCATTGACGCTAAGAGATAATTGCACTAAAATCAAAACAAGGTAGGCGGGCGCAGAAAAGCGCAGCTGATCAGCCGCAATAGCTCATAACTTGTTGCAAAACCTCCCTCAAAACTTTTCGCCTTCGAGGAAGTCCCTAGAATGGATCATTTTCCAGGCTTTGGGGCTGCCCCCATCGCCTACAATGCCTTTTGGCATCCCATTTTTCAAATCATTGCAATCCCCATAATTTCGGTCGTTTGCTCCATTCAACTAATTTGAAGTTGTATGGCATTGTCAGGTAATGCTGCTGAGTCATCCTGGAATCGAAATAAGGATTGATGCTGATGTGCGTGTGCGTGTGGAAGATTTGATACAGATCACAAAAATATGTCATAAATTTGCACCCTCTGTCTGCAGCAAATAAGTGCGAAGCTCTCTTCCATGATGTAATAAGATGATATAAGGGCCTACCTAGTGGGAAGAACCACACAACATATGCACCAGATCGAAGAACATGCAAGAGGGGTTGTATGACCAGGCAAGAATGTTCAAAGGAACAAATCTAGTTCCAGAATCTGGAATCCAGATCTACTCAAGGCCCCAAATGGTGGGAGAGGGGGTGGAAGGGGTAAGATTTATTACAAAAGGGAAAGAGAATCAGTGTGAAAGGGGGTTCTGATCTTAACGTCAATTTGACGTCAAGTGTACCAAATTAAAGAGAGTATCTTCCCCAAGCAGCCTGTGTAAAACTGGGTTGGTGTGAAGAAGCACAACAGGGTTGGAAAACCTAAAGGACCTGAAGTAGTAAATGGAAATTAAGGTGGTCCATTAATGTAGGAAAATGAGTACTCAACAGCCTGTTTGCCATATTTCTGCAAACCAAAGCGAAACGGGCGATTCAGAAAATTTGACAGAAACAGCTTCGATTGGTCATATTGAGAACTCTCCTTGGTGGCCCTAAACTCTGCAATCTCCGTCAATATTCTCAACATATGTTGGGACAGGCTGAAGCGAAATGCTTCCCGTAAAACGCCCCATGGAGAATTGCCCTTTGACAAAGGTCGATTGGGCCAAGCTGTCGCTGGGGGCAGAGGCGTGTCTTTGTCATTCGGTATGCATTGGAGATGCGGCCCGATTTCCACCAGAGTCCTTGCGGAAAACGATCGAATATGGCGGCGGAACTTGGAGAGCCGACAAAAACCGCGCAGGGTTTGTAGCTGAAAGCCAAGAGGCAACTCGGTCAATGCGACAACATCGAATGAGCAGATGTGACACAGACCAGAAGGTCGTGCTCTCCTAGCACCAAACGACAAGGTTGCCATCCTGTCAAATTGCTTATGACGAGACAAGCGGCACCCTTCCACCCAGTGGACGATGACGGGGGTGTAGTCATCCAAACACCAACCAAGAAGGCCTTCTTGGTCTTGTCGCCTAGGCGGCCTTGATAGAAACCAACGCAGGCCAACTGGAGAGGGATGCACGCCAGAACAATTGTCAGGACAAGGATTCAGGAGTCAGAGCCTGCTACAAGGGCACAATTACGTAATTGAGCTCAATAGTAAGGAAAGAAGAAATGTCAGCAAACAGGAAATTATGAATAGCAAGCAAAAAGGGATGTGGGTATGATGGTATTCAATGGAGGGAGTTTGTACTTGGAAAGCACGAGCAGGTGAACAATCTGCAGAGGTGGAATCGGCACAGTAAGGACAGACATTAACATGAAGGGATTCGCCAAAGTTTTGCACGCAAATACATAGCGCTCATTTCTCGTGGGAAGGCTGGGATGCTGTACGGTTTGAACGCGGTGGCGAGAGCAATGGCAAATTAGCGTGGGACATAAATGTTTGGTGAGACACAAACACATCGTGTAGCGTGTTGTGTTTGTGCACAAACACAGCACGTTACATCTGTTGTGAGCTCGAGGCGCCAGGGGCCTCTGTCTGAACTCTGCGACAGCGCCTCCAGCTCGCACCTTAAAGGGCCAACTGAGCCTGAAACCAAGAGGTCGAGACACTGAGTTCACAAGTGGGAGACATCGCCAGAAGAGCCACAGTTGTGCGGTGCCAGCTTCTGAGCTTGCGCGACTGTATGCATACCACTTTGGTAGCTTTGGTACTACCAAAGATTGTCGGTGTCTGATGGAACGGTTACATGCTCCTCGAACAGTTAAATCTTTTCTTGTTTCCTGCATCGATTGTGTGCTCCTTCCATTGCGTGCTCGGAGATGACAATCTGCTCTTCTTGTGCGGAGCAGATTTTCAAGGCGCTTCACTGCAAGAGTTTCTATGTTGCATCGTTCGTTGTAATCCAGCCTAAACATTCACCACCGTGCTTCTTCGTCAGGAAAGCCTTACATTGGAGCACAGTCAAACTTTGACTGTGGCATTCCCCACCAGACTTCTGTTATTTGTTCCTGCTGTTATTTGTGTTCGCACCTCAAAGAGTTCATTTCGATTCTTCTGCACACCACCCGACAACTCGATCGCCATCACTGGCTCGTTCGGAGTTGCCATGGCATATTCCCACTTGTTCCACAACTATCCCAAGACAGCCACCACTAACCTACACAGGTTGGATTGATGGGGATATATCCTCATCAATCACCTGGAATCCCAATCATTCTGTTCTGCCCCTGCAAAACAAAGAGCGCGTTCTTCCCCTTTTGACTCCTTCCGTTTAGTAGTACCCTTCCATTCACCAATTTGGACCATCCAGTATCGATGACTCACTGGCTGACCCACCGAACAACCATTATTTCGAAAGTTTTCCTTTCTGCTGGCATGAGAGTATTCACAGCCCTCCATAATATTTTCACTGACCCCGTGTGTCCCAGAACATCACCTCCGTGGCGACTCACGTCCCGAGACATGTCCCACCTGGCCCAACCAACTTTCTCGCAACTCGATAGAACCCCGTCCCCGCCTCCCAGCCGCAAGGCGCCGCCTGAGGCCAAACAACCCAGATACGAACCGCGCCGAAAACCTCCTCGTGCGCCGCCGCCGCCTCCATTACGAATCGGACGACATGCCGCTCCGACACGTTCCGGGCCCAACTGCCCATTCATCCCAACCCCCGTTGAATCCGAACACTCCGCCGCGTCGACCCACGCCGTCCCCTCCGAGCGCCGCCCACAACGCCCCCCTCCCCTCCCCACCCTCGCCGCTCCCCAGGCCCCCTCCCTACGCCCGCGCCCGCCCGCATGCCCGATCCGTGACTATAACAAGGAACCTTATCTGTACACTTACTAACCCCACCCCGCCGCCCACCCCCCCTCCACCCCACCACCACCCCCCGCACCCCCGTCCGCCCACCCCGCCGCACGCCCTCAATCCCATGCCGCCGATCCACCCCCGCGGGCCACGGTTCGATTGGCTCCCGGTGCTTCATCAGCTCGGATCGGATCGCTCAGTCGCTCCAGCTGCTGCTCTTCCCCACGGCGTCCAGGTCGGCGCTGTCGCGCAGCTTGAGCGGGATCGTCTGCGGGTGCGCCGCCCAGGCGTCCTCCGCCCTGCCGCCGCCCGCCAGCCGCAGCGCCTCGCCCGCGCCAGGGGGGCCGCATCCACCCCTGTACCCGCCCCCTTCCAGCTTGACCACCTGCCTGGCGTGCGTCACGGTCGCCTGGCCCACCGGTGCGTTGCCGAACGCCTCGAAATCGCACATCGCCGCAAAGGGCGTGCCTCGCAGGTCCACGCCGGCGTGGGATGTCGGCTCCCCGGCGGAGTTCTGCGCCACGCCGTACACCGCGTGCTCGACGGTCGTACGGCCGCCCGCTCCACCCATCAGCACCACGCCCCCGCTGGACCGCGAGAACGTGAAGTCCGCGCACACGACCACCGGGGGCTCACCGGGTCCGCCCGGCATCCTGATGCGCACCATCTCGAACACCGTCGTGACGTCCGTGCCCGTCGCCGTCCCCCCCGAGCGGAAGAACGAGTAATTGTCCCATGGCCCCGCCCTGACTCTCAGGTACTCCTTGGGCTCCGACCTCCCCATGCCGTGGCAGTACACCCCCACAGGCACGCTCTTCCCCGGGGCGGCCGCCCACCGCAGGTGGTAGTCCCCGTCCGAGCTGCACCCCCGGCGCTGCAGATCCGCGGCGGATGTCGGCAGGCCCCGGATGTAGTCGCGGACGGCGGATCTCAATCTGCGGCAGCACAGCTCGACGGCGCACAGGTCGCGCGGGGACATCTTCGCGAACGCGGCGTCGCGCACGCCGGCAGGGAGGTCGGGGAGCATGGCCCGGGCCGTGTTGCGGATAAGGTGGGCGGCGCGGACATGGCCACATCTCGAGGGGCTGGGCGCCGCCCGGCGGCATTTGTGTCGAGGCACGGACGAATTTGATGGCGGGCGTCATTGTACGGGCGTGGGGATGAGCCGGTGTGGCTTCACGTGATCCGGATCAGGGACGTCAGGACGTCATGGTGGGGCAACCCTGGCGATGCCAATGGGCATGTGCGTGTGGGATGGTTGGGCGCTTGGTGTACGCACGGGTGTGTTGGTGTACACACGCTGGATCTGCATCGCGGCGGGCACGGTTCAGTGGTGGGGTGTGCTTTGGTGAGCACCGCAGGGTGTTGGTGAACGCGCTGATGCGGAGCTGAGCGCGCTTGCCTTCCCGGGGCGCGCGAGAACCCCGGCGTGAGGTTGGCGCCCGTCGTATGCGCTTCCGGATCGACGACCGGCTGGCGCTGGGCGTCGCCGGACCACGGCTCTCGGGCGCGGCGGCTTTGCTGACTGTGGGCCGCCAAACTATGGAATCGGCCGACTGCGGTTCAGGGCCGGCTGTACTTCCCCCCTTCATGTGAATCTCGTCGGCGCCCCGTCGTATGCGCATCTGGTTTTATGCGTCCGATCGACGACCGGGAGCAGATCAGTGTAGTAGGGCTCGCGGCCACAAAGGATTTGTTGGCGCTGAGCCTCAGACTGAAAGTAAGGGCGAGTGCGATATATGCGATGCGTTGGCAGCAGGCGTCCCAAAGGGATGGCAACCGCAAACACAGCTGGACTGAATTACAAGCTGGCAGTGCCAGCCAAGTTTTGTAACCAGTTGGCTTTCAAACAGGGGCGGCTTCCACAGCCGTATGGTCGCAGTCATCTGCGGCCGGGCACTTTGCGCAACAGCAGCACACGGCTACTGTCGGCCGGGACAATGCTTCGCATGCTGGGGCGTGGACGCCTGGCGATAGACTGGCAACAATGCTGAGCGTGTTTCGAGCCTGCTGTGCTGAGCTGTGGATGAAGCGGCTTCGATGGCTGCCAGCAACTGCGCGGTCGGGTCGACGAGTGCTTGTGTCGTGCGTTTGCCTTCTCAGGGCAAACAATGCCATTGTCCCAAAGGACGGTGTGGTTGTAGGCAAGCGCCTGGGAAGCAAACTGCAATGCAAAAGCCGCAAACCATGGTTGATCAAAATGGGATGCCCTGACAGGCCATGTGCGCGGATGCCCACTGCAAGACACCATTTGGCCCCGGTACAAAAATCTCTGTTGTGGGGGCGAGGGTAGCTTTGGGGGAACATGAACCTTTGCCGTTGCCTTCGTTGCTAAAGTGATGGACAAATACAAAGTGCGAGACAAAACACTGACGGCAAGTTTGTTATTGCATTTGTCGCAGCAATGATGGGCTGGTGGCACACTCACCTGCAAGGAGTGCAGGCCTGTGGGAATATATTCTGTGCTCTTCGATCTTGCCGAGACTCCAGGCGCAGGTGGCAACCCTGCTCCAATGTTGAACATCAAACCAGCCAGCCAGCCAGCGCGGCACAGACTCAACCCGTTTTTGATTCTTTGAGGCAGTTGCATCAGATATTGTTGTAATGTCTTAAGGCATCTTCATCAGATATTGTTGGCATTGCCTTTCAACAATCCGACAACAGAATCCAGGGATAAAGATGGGCCCAGAGGCCATGGCTGCGGTGCCATGCTTAGCTTCGGGTTGCGTATTTGAAACTTGTGTATGTTGACCGACCGTTTGGCCTTCTTGCGCCACCGCTTGGCGCCAATAAACAGGTTCTTTCCTGCCCTCCCCTTGGCGGGCGCGACGGCCTCGCTTTGCATTTTGGCTAGTGTCACAAACATGTAGGCACGACGAACAGACCGACAGGTCCTGGCAAATCGGCAGCAGAACGCCGGGCCGTGGCAGACAGTTGAACAAATGACCAATAATCGAACAAAAATTGAGCAGCATCACAAAACGAGTGCGGCATCGAGCATGGCTGCAGTTGTCCACGCTGATGCATGAGGCGCCCTGAGCGTGCATCTCCCACTGCCGCTACCACCACTGGTCCAGCACGCCCCACAGGCCTTCCTGCACCTGCCGCAGTGAACCCGCCTCCGCCAGCTCCGGCCTCAGCTCCATCGCCCGCTCCAGCGCGTCCTCCTCGTGCAGCAGCATGTAGCACATGGCGCAGTACGACAGGGGCAGGCCGCGCCTGTCGGGCCACAGGGACAGCGCATCCCCGCTGGTGTCGTATGCCCCAAGGAACGCGCTCGTCAGGGCGTCGGTGCACAGCAGGGAGGAGATGTGCACCGCCACGAAATCGTACAGCGGGTCGCCGTGCCCGGCGTCAGCAAAATCGATGATCTGGACAGGGCCCTCGAGTCCAGCTGTGCTAACCTGGGCCCCTAGTCCGGATGTCTTGACCGGGCACCCCGGTCTAACGATGGCGGAGTCCACCAGTACGTTGTCGTGGGTGAGGTCGCCGTGCAGCCAGCGGGGCGGTCGGTCCCTGGGGCCCGGCCGGCGGGCCCCAAGGCCCAGCAGTTCCGCCGGGTCGTCGGGTAGGTAGTCGCGCACCTGGGCGGCGAGGCCGGGCGGCATGTCCCTCGCCGCCCAGTCCTCCTCGGCCGCCGCCGCGCGCCTCCACCGCAGGAACGCCACAAAGGGGTACCAATCGCCCAGGCGCGCCGATTCGTCGACATCGGAACGCCACCGGACGTTCACAGGGAACAATTCCGATTTGTGGTTGGCGATCGTCGAACTGTGATCGGCATAAGCGGAAAACGCACCCTTACCCGATGCCCACCAGAATCTGCTCTCCTTGCCCGCGTGCCAGAGTCGAGCGCCGCCGTCCAGCAGCGTGCCCATCCACTCCGCGAGATCCGCCTCAGTCGCGAACTGCAGCCCGCCCTCGCCGATCGCCACCATGCCGCTGAGCTCCCCTTCGCCCTCGCCCGTCGCGTTCGACGACGCGGAAGGCCCGCGTCTCGATAACGCCCCGCCGCCTTCGCTCCCTTCGGTTTTGGCGAGCGCAGCGCAGCAGGGCGCAGAGAGCATTCGATGCAGCGTGGCCGTTACCCGGCCCAAGGCGACGGCAACCTGGACCTGCTGCTCGAACTCCAGCGCACCGAAGCAGCGCGAGAGCGGCGATCCCTCTGAGGCCGAGACCACCAGGTACGGAAGGTCGGCATGGGGGTCCGCCTTGTGCCTCTTGCCGTTTCTCTCCAGGGACGGACAGCTGGCCTTCGAATTCGGGAATGTGTGGCGTCGCGGCGCCAGGCCGCTGGATATCAGGCGAGGCATGCAGCTCTGCACTGCGGTCTGGGTGGATTCCGCCCGGGAGTAGGAGTGCTCCTCGGCCGTCAACCGGAGGATGGACTCAAGCGGGTCCTACAGGCAACACACATCCAAAATCCTTCTGTAATTCAGTTCTACAGGGCAGTTGGCCAGGGGGCGAACTTTCATTGCTCCCTGCAATCTTTCGAAGAGGGGCCGATGGCGACATTAATCTGCAAGACGAATGGAAACAACTGGCGTTTCTTGCACGCCGCTGTCCTTTATCACCCCATACTGTGTCCACAAAAACTCTCCACAAGGGGTGGAGCCGACACGATGCGTGTGGAAAATGAACAAAAAGGTATCTGGAAGTTTCCTGGAGATGGGTCATCTGTTCAGCTGCGTTTCCCCAAAAAGAAAAGGACATGAATGGAAAACAATTCACAGCCACACCAACACGAGAAATAGGCCGCAAACTATCTGTGTGAAATTTGCGTAGTTTGGGGACTGCAGTGCTTGCGGCAACGTGTGGAATTTTAGTTTCCGAGTGCATGCACCGTTGCTCCAGGTTGTTGCTTCTGCATTGCATCTGGCACAGCATAATACCACTGAAGACCACGACAAGCATTCACCTACCTTTCCCCCGAAAATCTTGACAATGTACTCCCCAGTGCGGAAAACCCAGTCGTCCTTTAAAGCCAGAGGGAAGCTATCCTTCTCATGGGGACTGGGCAACTGTGCCTCTGCACAAATGTGTGTCAAGACATGGAACCAGTAGTCGCACCATAGCTCATTGCATCCAGATCTCCACACCAGTTCCTGTGCAAGCACAGCCATTCTGTTTCTCCTTCGTGGTGTCCTATTCAATGTTGTGCCAACACACGCTATCGATTGCACCTGGCAAAATTTACGAAAGACACTGATCGTGCACCAGCATGTATTAGTACCCTCGCATGAGGTCGACTAGGGGGATTCTGCCCTTTGTCTCTGCGCACCTGGTTTGCTGGGCTCTGTGGCACAGTACGATACATAAAGAAGCCTGGTACATGCCTTAACAGTCTCATTGCCCCAGGGTCTCAAAGCGTAGAGCGCATGGTCTGCAACAACAATACAAGGTGACAATTGGCAAATCCAGCAGTGTGTCTGCCCGAATCGGTTATCAGCTTTGTGTCCCACTTTCCCCCAAAGCATCTGCCTGTTCAAAGTCCACGGTAAACTCCACACCCCTCAGTCAAAAGACATGAGAGAATGATGCAAATGCCAATCCGTATAACGAACAAATCAACACGCAATCTCAGTAGTTCTTGATGTTTATGGCAGCAAGAGGCTGTTCTGAAGCAAATCAGCACACACAGTTACTGCAACTCTCTGCCGTTCCATTACGGCTTCCGCCTACTCTGACCAGTGGCGACTGCCCTGGCCAGATAATATTTAGCTTTGTTCTCAATCCGTTCACCTTCACATGCATGCCAGGCCCATGCATTTTGCACAGGTTGAAGGGCAGATACCTCACATGTGCAGTCTTTACTCAATCTCCACATCCCATCTGTTGACACTAGGTGCAAAATGCGAAAGTGGTCACAACCACAATGACCATGGCGCACTGAGAAGCAAGGCAGGGGCGGTGACTGTAGCCACTTGGGCAGGCCGACAAAGGCATTCCAATGACAACGAGGAGAAGAAATCTGCTTGATTGAATGTTCCTCACCTTGCACGCTGGTATCTCTGTGTAGAGTGTCTTCAGAAAGGTTCCAAGCCATGGACACCCCACAGTCGGCAGCCTTGCCCCATCGTTGCCTGTTCCGGAATCCCTGCTCGGCCCGTCTGCCTCACCATACAATGTTGAGTAGTACGCATGTGGACCCTTGGCCATAAAGCGGATGGCATCAGGCAAGTTTGCCCTGGACACGAAGTTCTGCGTGACTGCTATGCTGACCTCCAGGTTCAATACACAGTGCCACCAGCCTGCGGGCACAAAGATGACGTCGCCTGGCCGCTGGACACACTCCACCGGCAGCTGCTCAGGCGAGAGGGTGGGCAGCACCTCCAGAAACCACTGCTAGAATCAAACACGCAACAAAGCTGGTGAAGAGAGGGATACGCAAGCACAACAACAACAACAGTGTGACACGTGTGTGCGACAGTGCCCATGGTGCGGGAGCAAAAATAGTTGCAGAAGGAAACTGTGCACATAACAGTCTATCAGGTGCACAGGCAGCATATTGTCACATTTCCAAATATGAGATATCTGCTGATATCTGCACGACACTACGATACTGTGGCCTTTTATACCCACAAGGGTTGTGGAATGTCCAATCTTCACCACCTTGGAGGTTGTTTGGGCGATGTTTTTTTGATCAATCAACAAAAGGAAACAAAGGGCTTCGACATGGTACATCTAGCAGTGTTTTGGAGCAGCTCTGACATGTCAGTTAAGCTGTCTCTTCATCCACTACATTGTATTGGCAGTTCATCTGCAACATTGTTGCAGCCCATACATCCATGTATCCTGAAAGTTGATGTGTGAAAGTAGTACTATCAACAGCTCGCTTAGGGCACAACTCTCAGCAAAGAGTTCCAGCCAAAAAGCGAATAACAACCACAATCAGTTGGCACGAGTGGGGAATTAAATGCTTCCAAAGAACAGTAACACTGTTGACACAAAAAGTCATACCACAGCTAGGATAGTCAATTGCACTGTGATCATCAGCGTTTACTACATGACTGGCAACAGAGATTTGGTGCCATCAAACATTGCCTTAGTATCTCAGAATACTCTGCACAAACAGAGAAAATGTGCTTGTCACCCTTCCATGGACCTCCATGAAACTGGCAGCTGAGTGATGTAGCCAAACTGCAAGAACAAAGAAACTTACTAAAATGGGAAGCCATCTACAGTTGCCAGCTGAGGAAAGTCATCTAAGGGAATGTGTACACACACATACATGCGGTTTTTCCTTCCTTAGGTTTCCTCAGGGCACTTGTGGCACAATTCCAAGTATTGATGCCTGGACAGAATATGACTGGAACACATGCATGTGCTCATGGAACAACATTCATGTCATTTGTGTCAAGTTAAAATACTAACAATTGATTTACAACGCTAATTTACTATCAAATTCCTGTTGCACAATGCAATCCACACGAAGAACCAGACCTGCAATGCTGTTGGACCAGAGAAGTCCACATCTTGAGAGGATGGGTCTTCATCTGCAGTGAAGGTCACAGCTGGTGGAATGACGCCTGGCGGATACAACGCCCAGCGTTTGTGACCTGCCAAAACAGATCCACATGATCTGGTAGTCACGTCTGCAACAAGGGAACAGGATCGACAACCATGGTGGAGCCACAGACAAGTCTTAGGCTACCACATCTTTGTTGGCCACTGCAGCTGCACAAACACTGTTTGCCACCAATTCTGTGTAATTCTGTCAAGCTTAACACTTTTCTGTTGTACAACACCCTGATGCCTGAGCTACATGGTAGCAACGCTTCTGAACTGGCCACCACACTCAGAAACTACACATAGCATCTGTGAGCATGGAAATGTTGGTGTTGGATGTGCATTCAATCTTTGCGATTCGCACCAGGGCTATAACCATCTTCCATGCTCCTAGTTGCGGCAATTTCCAGAGGTTTGTTTTCACCAACACAAGGGTACAGTTGCCCTTGGCACTGGGCTCGATGCCAGTGTATGGAATCGTGAGCAGCAGTTGCAACCATGATGACTAATAACTCTGGCGGTGCAGAGCTGTGGCAATAGCTGCAATCACCCTTCACACAACTTGCAAATGGGTAGACAATTGGGATCACTGGATGTCAGCCCTAGGTTGCGATGAAACGTAGATGCGAATGTGACTGATTCGCTTGCTATACTGACCTTTGAGGAGGGCATTCCATGCACTGGTGGCTGTGGGATCAAGGTGCCATGGCGCCCCTGATCTTGGAGGCCCGATCAGCAGCCACCGGAAAGGCGGCCGCGCACTGCCTGGCCAAGAAAGAAGCGGTCAGCAGCACAATCAATACTGCGTGTTCCAGTTCAAGGTTGTGAACACAGCGTTCTGCTTTTTCTCTACAAAATTATGCATGTGGAGCTGCACCATCGCAACAGGCCAGGCAACAATCCCTGGCACACTGAATACACAGCTGCAATGGAATAACAAGCACTTAGCGAACAAAGGGGAATACACTACTGGAAAACTGAATTCTTATAGGCACAAGTGCAAAGTCTCTGGGGCTTGTTCTGTGACTTTGAGCCAGATGTTGGGGGCTACCCATTTCAGCACTCACAACAACAGCAACAACAACAAGCACAACAGCAAGGTGACAGCACGAAGCTACACAGTAGTATTAGTTGTAGATCTCCCAAGCATGCATTGGCAGGGATATGTTTGTTCAAGCTGGAGCCAGCCACTAGCAAAGTCCCCCACGCTGATAAGACAAGAAATGGCACAAAGACATTGGTGAAAGCACAATATCATAACAGCACACGTGCCACAAACATTCACAAAATGTGCAACATCTTAGCATCATAAATGCAGTAAGAGGTAGCCACCTACCAAGGGCAGAAAGCAGGTCGTCGGCAAATACATTTGGCACACTGTAGTCCCCAAGGAGGTCTGGCGTTTTGACTCCAAAATCGCTGTCAAACAAGTACAAGGGCTGCTCATCGTGCTGGCCAAGGAGGTAGTCTGCAAGATCCCGAAGTTTCATGTCTTTGCTGGATTGCCCAGGCACATTCACAATGAATAACTCATTGCTGTGTCTTTTTGCCAGGCTCTCGATCGTCCATGACATGGCTGGCACCCACAGCACCAGGTTTCATCAGTTGCTGACAAGGGGTGACATGAACAAAACTGGATCATAGCAAAACTGGTTTCAAGCGAGTATGCCATTCTTTGCCCCTGTGTTGCGTTGCATGATGTAGTCATTGCCATTTCTCCACACCACACAGTTTGAGCATGCATAATCCAGAAATGCTCAAACCAGCAACTGCAGGATGCCATAGATTACCCTTGTCAATCCCTGCACTAGCAGCCAGCTTCCAACTGCTTTGTGACCATTCGCTTTGAGATGAGACACAATAAGGCGACCCAATGTGGCACCAGATGGGCAGGCTACAACTTGCAAACAAGACATGAGGTTGTTCAAACGATGAATGTCAACTCACCAGGCCAGCCCCTCAACAGCCCTTCTAATACAACAGGCTTGCTGGTCGTGTCAAATTTGTCATGGAACTCTTGGGCAGTCATTCCTGCTGCATTCACGCGTGGCACAGACTCCTGAGCAGGGTAGAATGTCCGAACATCGACATTAGATCGGTACCAGCGGTTGTACAGGAAGTTCGATTCAAAACCCTTCACATGTGGGATGGCTCTTGGCTGAATTTCGTGCAACATCTCCTTCCCCATGCTGCTTGACACACCAAAAGATGCAGTCAAGGTTGGGAGATTGAAAATGCAACCAATTCATATGGGCAACGAAGCACATTCATAGGACAAATATTTTCTGTGGAGGGTTCTCTTCCTCTGGGTGCGAACAAAGGATATTGTTCCGTGGTGCCTTTGAGATTTGTTGTGCACACAACACCCTGGTAGGCATGACCTTCAATGTTGAAGCCTCAGGGGAAGTTCCGCAGAGTACTACCCATAATTAATGCATGAAATTTTTGCAAACACTTACCACCCTGCACACGATGACAGGATTTGGAACAGCAACAATTATTCCTTAACCATAAATCGAACTCCTTGCACCACTCTGATAGTGTCATACAATGACCTTTGGGATTGACAGGCTGCCAGACAGGCTCATTTAGAGTCAGCAACATGGATTTGCTTCACTTCAGCAGCAATTACAGTTGCTGCACTGGAACTTTCAGTAGTTGAACACCAAACTCTGCACACAGACAAAAAGTGCTTCATAGGCTCGTCCAAACTGGGTTGATATTGCTTCCACTTAGTGTGGATAATCATAAAGTCATGCTCTGTATCACATACTTGTGTCAACAGCTCATCAACTGAAACAGTATGGTGTATAGGAAGGGGCGGCCCTCCATTTCCTGTCACGATCAGTGTCTGGTTCTCCAGAATAGGAATCAGACAGGAATCGGATATTGTTGCTGGAATATCGATGTCTCTTGAGGCTGCTAAGCTGCTCTATGAAAAACAGGTGTCCATGTGAGGCCCCTTCATGGTGCAGTCACCACTCGGTGACTTTATTTCTAACCAGCACTGCTTAGACCTGTGCAGCAGTGGGCAGGAACCACAAACACTGTGGGAACAATTGATTGTGGACACGACTGTGTGTTTTCTTTCCTTTGGGGCGCTCTTCTGAGCTGCGTGTGAGGTTTTCCATTTCGCAGTAATGCCGATGCGACAATGTCTGCTGTGCACTGGTCTGTCAAGGAATGTTGGCCAATTGATTGTCTGTTGACATTGAACGTGACCTGAAATCATGATAAATGTGCAAGGGTGTTGCGTTGCAGCATGTAAATACGTGTGAAAAGTGCACTTGTGCCTTGGATCTCGGTGCAAGCAACTTAGCCCTTCTCTGCACTTGCAAGGTAGAGCACCGGGCTTACAATATTCACCATAAGTGCATCCAGCCAGCTGCTGGACCGCACCAACGTCCAGTGACCCAATAACAAAGCGAACCAGAATAATCGACTTTGATCGGCTATGAGCAGCAGTAAACTAAACTCCCCGTACTGGAGACTGCTGGGGCACTGTTCTTGTCGCATTTGGCAGTTCGTCTAGTGACTTCGCCTGCTAAATTTGCAGCATCTTCACAGCGCGGAAAACGGCCTCAAACTGTGGGGTAATGCCCGTGGCATGACAAATTTCCTGCTGCATTCAAGCAAAGATTGTCGTTGCAAATTCTCAAGCTACAAAACCAAACCGTGGCACAATCAATTGCTGATTGTGGCTGTGCGGGAGGCGAATTCACGGAAAACCTGACCGAAAATTCGCAGCATCATTGCAGTAGAATAGAGGTTTGATGCGCCCATTGTATCATGGACCGTGTTGCGTTGTTCGCCCGCCCATCATGCCACCCCAACCCCCTCTCCACACAATGCAAACATCCGCGCCCCGACCTGCTTCCACCTTTTCCACGCCTGCAGCGCCGTCCCCCTCCACGATCCCGCCCACCGGACCTCCTTGGGGCACGCATCCAGCGCCAGCCTCAGCCAGAGGGCCTCCTCCAGACAGTACAGCCGCATCACCTTGGATGCGCATGCCGCTGCCAGGACGTCCCTGGGGCCCAGGAACTCCAGGACGCGGCACAGCGCCTCGTCCGGGACGGCGGCCAGGGACCCCAGGCCCAGGCCCCTCGCCGAAGGCCCCCCTGACGCCATGGCCACGCGGGACGTTTCCCAAACCAGACAGACGACCAGCGTGAGCCCCCTTGCTTTTGATGCTGGCATGGGACCTGCGACTCAACTTTCTCGCTGTGAAAAAAACATCAGCCAATATTGGCTGATGTTTGTTTTACAATTTGTACTTTCGTTAGTTCACGTAAAGTTCTCAACGCAGTATCCTGGCGACTGAATGGTGTGCTGGTTGCTTTGGGGCTTGGTAGGCCCACAACCCCACAGTGAGACTGGGGGAAAGGCTGCGTTTCCAGCGAAAGGCTGCATCTTCGGCGGAACGACTGCAACGTTCGTTCATCGGTGCGCTTCGTCCTTTGGCAACCCCCCACCCTGTTCCCACGCTTCTCAGCATCGCTCGCGATTTCAAAAGCTCGGCATTATGCAATTACTTACGGCGTCACGGACGGCGCGCTACACATTACGGCGTAACGGTTGCGGTTGCGCAACTGGGCGCATTATCCGCGCATTACCCAGCGTCGCGAATGGCCACCCGTTGCGTTACGGTTACGCCCCTTGCGGGAGCGCCGCCGCACAAAGCCCAAACCCGCCCCCCACCCCACACCAGCTCCGCCAACCCCGTGGTGCCGCTCGGGCCTCCCCCACGGGCTGCGACCTCCGCGAGGTAAGCAGCGCATCTTTTCGCGCCGCATCTTTTGACCGCCGGCGGCCGCCCAGGGGACAATGGCGGAGGACGAAGGATATGCAGATCCCAATGCTGGCGGCGTGGCGGTGGATGAGCCCGTGCTGCTAGCGGACGTCAAGCTCTTCGGCAAGTGGTCCTACGACGACGTCGAGGTGCCGGACATCTCCCTGGAGGACTACATTTCCGTGAAGCCCTCCTCACGTGCCAAGTACGCCGTCTTCGTGCCCCACACCGCGGGGCGCTACCAGAAGAAGCGGTTCAGGAAGGCTCAGTGCCCGATCGTGGAGCGCCTGACCACGTCGCTCATGATGCACGGCCGCAACAACGGCAAGAAACTCCTGGCGGTGCGCATAGTCAAGCACGCCTTCGACCTCATCCACCTGCTGTCCGACCAGAACCCCATCCAGGTGCTGGTGAACGCGGTAATCAACGCCGGCCCGCGCGAGGACGCCACGAGGATCGGGTCCGCCGGCGTGGTGCGGCGGCAAGCGGTGGACATCTCGCCTCTGCGCCGCGTGAACCAGGCGATCTACCTGCTGACCACGGGCGCACGGGAGGCCAGCTTCAGGAACATCAAGACGATCGCGGAGTGCCTGGCGGACGAGCTGATCAACGCGTCCAAGGGGTCGTCCAACAGCTACGCGATCAAGAAGAAGGACGAGATCGAGCGCGTGGCGAAGGCCAACCGCTGAGGCGGCTCTGCGGTTGGGATGTGGGGGGTTGTGGCCAGGTCTGCCCAGGCGGCGGCTGATGAGCGCATGGATTTGAGCTGTCGTGCATGTGGCTAAGGGCCTGTCCCAGGGCCACCGCCCGCCCTGGAGCAATCGTTGGAACTGGCTTTCAGTCCTTGGGTGGAGCGGCGTGGATCTGTTGTGTGCCGCAGAATGACATGACGGCACAGCGCTGGACATGAGTGGTGATGATTTGTTGGGGGTCTGTGACGAGAGGAGGCTGCCAAGGAGGCGTGGAGAGGGCGGCTGGGGGTCCTCCGCGCCGAAGGACCGGTTCTGGGGCTGCGCACCCGCGCATCTGCTGTGTAAGGCAAAAGGCTCTCTGAATGGGATTGGAGAAGAGATGTGCGCTTTAGCTCCCTCGATTCTTTCACAGCCCTCCCCGCCACAACAGCCACGGCAGAAAGGGAACCAAACTTGCTTCAAAATTGTTTCTAGGTGCTCCTCAAACAGTGTACCCGACATCTGTCCTCTATTCAAAATGTGTTTCCTAACTTGGCGGACATCCTTGGCCCAAGGCACAGCAGCCATACCAGCCCTGCAGTGTGTGCAACAGCATGCCAGCTAACGGGCTATTCGCCCAGCTCGAGTAGAAGATGGTCTCCCCTTTGATGAGCACCTCCACCTGTGGCGTGCTAGCTTTACTTGCTCAGGTTTTTCCTAGGCATCTGCAACACAGTTGCCCAAGTGTCAGCAAGCACATATCTGGAAATGCTATCTGCTGTGCGGAATGCTTGCCAATCCTTATGGCATCTGCAATGGGACCGCTAGGCTTCGGCAAGCGCACATTGAACAAGTGCTGTCTGCTGTGTCATATGCTTGCCAGCTGTAAAGGGAATTCATGTGCAGATCCTTATTGGTTCCACTTGTTGAACGAGAAAACTTTGTACCCTTCGCCCTTCAGAGATTTCAAAAAGCTGCTGTGTCCATTTGCTTCCTGGCTTTCTTATCTTCTCTGTACATGATGAACCCCACACACAATTATGGAATTAAGCAGCCTACATGATGGACACAAGGCTGTCTGGTCATTGCCTTTAAAAGCAAGGGTTAGTCGAGGGGTGGGTGGGTGAGTGGGAGTTTGGGGGTAAGCATCGGCACTGTACCATGGAGTCTTGCTTGTTGTAGATAGCTCCACACTGTAGGAGGTAGCTGAAGCACGCCTCACCCTCTTGGCCCCTGCAGCAGGACACCCCACTTACAACAACTGGTGTTGTCCCTGGACAGGACCTGCTCCTAGGCAGGCAGGCTGCAAGGCGATCAATGCTAACAGCAATGTGCTGAAGGGTAACGAGTCACGGCGCAGCAAATGTGGGCAGCTCGGGCTGCAGCCGAAACACTTGGTGCACAATGCGATTGGGTGCAAAGCGCTCCTGGTTTCATTCTGGCAGTGAGCTGGCAGGACACTGCACTTGCATCTCGGGAACAAATATTTGCAATGTAGCTACAGTCCTTCATCGCCCCACGGGTGCCTTGGGATCCACTGTCGTTGATCAAAGGCGATTTGTGCGCTATGATCTATAGCAATAGCAATGCAGCGGCCATGATGGCATCGAGTGGCACCTATTCGTTGGAGCCCACCTGCGCTGCCCTATCCCTTCAGGACACGGCCCCAAACTTCTATCCATTTCCATCCCCAAATTTCCCGGTCCGCCCCCACGTCTACAGTTTCTGGACTAGTCGTCAATGGGCTTGCCGATTTTGAACGAATGCACTTGGGAAGACGCTAACCCATCACAACCCAACGTCCCAGCTCCTCACCAGCCCTTCTCCGGGCTTCGATATGCGATGTAGAAACGTCATTCCTGCTTCTGGAAATTGGTGAGCCTGAATACTCGAACGCGATGCACGGCTGGGAAGCGACAACAAGCGTCAATATCACCAGTCGTTCACGAGCACTTGCTCACCAAAACATGGATCCATGCAACATGGTCACGTGCTTACACATGACGCATCGCCAAACCTGATATTCAGCAATCCCTCGCGTCGTAAGCGTGAATCTTAGCGCTGGAAAAGTAGGCATTTTGATGTGTCAGTTCATCTCCTAACTTCTCACTTCTGGCTGGCGAGAAAGAGTGCGGTGATGCCCCTGTTGTCCTGCATGTTGACGACCTGCTTCCGCTCGTCCTCCTCCATTCCTTCCAACAGGGATTGCAGGAGCTCACAGTGGGTGGACCGTGCCGCCAGATGGATGGGCGTCCTGCAGGCAGCGAAAGGTCCCTGAGGCCCAAATAGAAAGGGGAGGGGGGAAGAGAGCAGAAACAAGTTGTGGGAGTGACCTGGGCTTGCGCGCCCTGCCCATGAATTCAAGGACAAGTTGCCCTCAACGGCTTCTGCCCCCGGCTTCATCCATCTCAAGACGACCACCCAGTCAATGAAATCCCACAGATTGGAACATTTCTTGTGATGATCAGTTACGAGCCCATCAGTCACAGGCTTTACAAACCCATTCGAAAGTTTGAGCGCACAAGGGACGAGCGAGGCGCCACGGCATATGCCAGTGGCCTATAGGCCAGTACCTACTGGCAGTGGGATTTCTAGTCATGGCAACAAAAGAATTGCAGGAACACTAGAAGGAGTGTCTGATGCCGGATGGTGCTTTTCCTGGCGACTACAAACTGCTCGGTGGTCCCTGTCCATCCGGCTTGTTGTTTAAGCCGCAAAAGTTGATCGTATTTACGTTTTTCTGCGCAAATGGTTCTTACGTTTTTACGCGTAGGTAGGCGTAAAAATAAACAAGTGCAGCGTGAATACAGCCCCGTGCACATAAATATAGCAAACACAGGCTTACGGAGTCCGGGTGTGGCAGCCAAGCGCGCTGGAGTGTGCAGAAAACGAACTTTTGTTCGGCGACGTCGTTTGCCCTTGCCGAGAGCGAGGTGGACGCTATGTTGCGTACGCTCGAGGGGGCGGAGGACTGACCATTGTACGCTACTTTCACCGTGTAACCTGGTGTCCGCAGAAACGTAAATACAGCCGCAAAAATAGCTCCTTTTGCAATTTTGCGTTTTAGCGCACAAAAACGCAATCGTAGAAATGTCAAACCTAAACGTAAATACAAGCCTGCCGCCAATGATATGATTCTGTTTTGTAAACATTCTGTCAACAGAGAGCACCAGGAGTACAATCAATAATGGTTGTGGACACGACATTGCTTCATAAGTGTAAGCGCACCTGGTGCTGTGAGACCGCAACACACTCACTCGCCGACAGAGCCCACTGAAAGGCGGCGAGCTCTTCTGTGAGCTTTGTCCGGCAGCGAATTGCAGCGCCGCAAATGGCACAGCAAGGTGAACAGATGGCGAAAGTATGCAAGTGTATCCGCAGTCGCGAGGAGCAGCACACTCTCGCCTTGCCACGACTGCTTCCACAATTTGCGTCCATCGGCAGCACCCAATTTTCCGTACACAAGCAAATAATCGGCCAAAATGCACCGTCTCGAGCCGTGCAAAACTCGTGTAAAACCGCGTCAAAATGTGCGAAAATCATGTACACTCACTTAGTCGATACAACACGGTATTGTCCCATTTTTGTGTGATAAATGCACGATGAATACACTATTCATACGCGGTTTTCAAGCAATTTACACGATTTACACGGTGCACGATTTTCGAGCCATGGATTTTGGCCTGCTTTTTACAGGTGGCATTCTTGCAGTGGTGCCGCACCTTCCGAGGTTTTCAGTTGCACGGACTTCGGCACCCAGGTCGATGAGGATCTCCGCGGTGATTTTGTGCCCGTGCTCTGCGGCCCAGTGCAGCGGCGTCCTCCCGTAGCGATCCTGCGCACCAAGGACTTTACATCACTTCTGTGCAGAAACGATGCGTGCACCCACCAGAAAATGCGCTCAAGTGTTGTGCAGTGTGTGCGGTGCGGGGCACGTATCGCGCATTGGTGGTACCGCCACATATGCACGACTCATATCCTGAACGAATGTTCTTCAGCTGAATGCTCTTATGAATGTCCTACGAGAACGATTTGCATATCATTATACCAATTTGTTATCTACCTGAATATCTTCTGAATGCTTTGCTACAGCAATCTATCACCAGTAGAAAACAGCCTGTTTGCGATGCCAATTGCGATGCCATTTGACACAAATTGATGTCAATCACAGCCGCTTTTATGCCATCGCAATCACTGTCACGGCATCATTTTGTGTCAAATGGCACCGCAGTTGGCATCGCCAACATGCCGTTTTCTCCCAGTGTATCATTTGCCCTATTGGAATAGAATGGTCGTTGCCCTGCGGACGCACACGCACTGCCGTGTGGCTTTGGAACCCCAGGCGACACCGCAGGGATTGGGCCCCGCTCCCACCTTTTCGTTGATGTTCACATCCAGTTCCCTGTCCACTGTGCGTATGATGTCATTTCCCCTGCCCCTCTCCGCCATGGCATGCAGCGTCAGGGGGGCGCCGTCGTCTTTCACGGTGTCGTATATGGGGAACACCTTCGCCGCAGGTGCTGAAGCATGGGGAGGAGAAATCTCATACAATCTATCTGATGACGCCGCATTGGCGATCAACAATTCGTACATGTGAGTGCTCCGAAAGATCAGCCAATGGCGAACGAGAACAGTTAGGGAACGGCTCCCAAAATAGCGCGAAGAGCGCTTGGTCCCGTTTTCGAACATTGAATGTTCCACATCACTGGTGGACGGGTTTGCCAGTTGCAGCTATTGCAGTACAATGATTGCGCAAGACAATGCAGTACGGTTTTTTGCGATCATTATGCTGCCTGAGCGGTTGCATATGTGCCAGCAAACTTCCTGCGCAGTGCTGACCACAACGCGTAAAATACTTCTATTTGGAGGCGGCAGGTATTGCGCTTGCACTCTGGCGGGGTGACTCTCTGAACTGCGGATTGTGAATATGGGGCTAACTTTCGAATCATCCGAGTTCGGAGGCTGCTGTGAATTCGGTGATTCCTCGGCGGTGGTGCGCCTCACCACTGTCGTCTGAC